TTCTTAAGATGAATTTGTATGTAAATCAGAACAGGGACATTTCTTAAATGTAACTTGTTGTATTATTATTATTATTATTATTATTATTATTATTATTTATACTTCACTTTTTCACTCCACAAAGGAGACTCAAAGCAGCTACATATCTATTATTAGTATTAGAATGTATTAGTATTATTATGTTTATTTATATCCTACTTTTTCTATGCAGAAAGGAGACTAAAAGTGGCTGGGTATCTATTAATAGTATTACAATGTATTATTATAATTATATTTATTTATACCCCACTTTTCACTCCAGAAGGAGACTCAAAGTGGCCATTATTATTATTATTATTATTATTATTATTATTATTATCATTATCATTATTATTAAGTTTAGTATTGTTTATTTATATCCTGCTTTTCTCTCCACAAAGGACTCAAAGCGGCTATGTATGTATTATTAGTATTAAAATGTATTATTATTATTATTATGTTTATGTTTATTTATATCCTGCTTTTTTCTCCCAACAAGGAGACTCAAAAGTGGCTTTACACTGAATGCCTTTCGGTCCAGTTTAAAACCTACAAACATTCTAACAATTAAATATAAATGGCATTTTAAAAATTCAGTTAAAATCCATGTAACAAAAACACATTCAAAACTTTTAAAAACACAGCAGCTCTTGACTTGAACTTGTTAGGCTTATTATTTTATATTATTATTTTATGATTTTATCATGCCCTGCTCTCGATCTGACCCCCTTGCAGAAGCAACTGGTGGGGGATGAGAGATAGGGCCTTCTCAGTGGTGGCCCCTCAGCTATGGAACTCCCTCCCTCCTGACCTCCAGGAAGAAAGTGAAGATATAGTTTTGTGGGACCAAGCCTTTGGACAATAATTCCCAGTGCAATAATGATCTCTCAGTGCAATAGTGAATAATGCAAGTGACAGCCGGAGTGGCCCCTGGAATATGCTTTTGGATTGTGTGATTTTTAAGTAATTGTTTTAAGTTTAATATGTTTTAATTATGTGATTTTAAAGTATATGTTGTTTTATTCTATATATGTATTCATGACCTCAAATTGTGCTCACGCCGCTCCCCGGTATCGAACCTGCAACCTTTCGGTCAACAAGCTCAGTAGTTCAGCGCTTTAACCCACTGCGCCACCAGGGTCCCTTTTATTGTGCTTACTTATTATTATTTAAGGACTTACTATGCTTATTTATTATTATTATCATTATTATTAAGGTTTTACTATGCTTATTTATTAGGGCTTTTTTATTCTTCTTATTATTAAGGTTTTATTGTGCTTATTACATATTATTATTTATTTAGGTTTGGACCTTTGTTTTTAACTAGGAGACAGAAATGTTTTATTGGCCTTATTATGATTATATACTATATGTTAATATTTTAAATGTTTTTAAATGTTTTATGTTGTTTAGGCATTGAATCTTGCCTCTGTAAACCGCCTTGAGTCGTCCACGGGCTGAGAAAGGCGGTATACAAATATGGATTACTGTAATGCTCTCTATATGGGGCTACCCTTGAAGATGGCCCAAAAATTACAACATGTTCAACGTTTGACAGCCAGATTAATAACTGGGAGTGGTCAACCCCCTGTTTAAGGAGCTCCACTGGCTGCCGTTTATTTTCCGGTCCCAATTCAAGGTACAGGTTATCACCTAGAAAGCCCTAAACAGTTTAGGACCCGCCTAACTTTGTGACCGTATCTCCCTCCATGAACCAGCTTGGGCCCTCCGATCCTCTGGGGAAGCCCTGCTTTCACCACTGCCAGTGTCACAAGCTCGCCTGCTAAGTACAAGGGAGAGAGCCTTTTCCACCGTGGCCCCCCGACTCTGGAACTCACTGCCTGGAGAAATTAGGAAAGCCCCTTCTCTAGAAGTTTTTTAAGAAGAACCTTAAAACCTGGCTCTTCCACTGTGCCTTTGATGAGTAGGTATACAATTTCACATGACTATTTAGCTTAAAGTTCTGTCATTGGAATAGATGTCCCCTCCTTGTGGGAAAGCTTGACTCCACAACCCCCGCCATAATGAGTACTACTCCGCATATTATCTGCTTCTCTGTTTTATCTTGTCTGAGTTTTTAATTAGTTTTAATTAGTTTTTTTAATAATTACATGTAGCCCGCCCATTGTCTCTGTGCCTGTGTCTATCGTAATTCTTATATTGTTATGTATTCATATGTTTTATGTAATTATGATGTTGTTTATTGTTTGCGTTTTCGGTTATGTTTTGGTTTTCTTTATTGTAATTGTTGTTTGGGCCTCGCCCCATGTAAGCCGCTCTGAGTCCCCAGGGGCATAAATAATAATTATTTATTTATTTGTTGTGTCAGGACAACCAGTCAAATTATATTACATTTCTAAGAGAACAAAGCAAACAAACAGACAAAATACAAAATTTGTGAGTTTGGTAGTTGGTTAAATGTCCTTTGACCAGTATCTGGCCACTTGGAGTGCTTCTGGTGTTGCTGCAAGAAGGTCCTCCATTGTGCATGTGGCAGGGCTCAGGTTGCATTGCAGCAGGTGGTCAGTGGTTTGCTCTTCTCCACACTCGCATGTCGAGGATTCCACTTTGTAGCCCCATTTCTGAAGGTTGGCTCTGCATCTCGTGGTGCCAGAGCGCAGTCTGTTCAGCGCCTTCCAAGTCGCCCCGTCTTCTGTGTGCCCAGGGGGGAGTCTCTCATTTGGTATCAGCCATGGGTTGAGGTGCTGGGTTTGAGCCTGCCACTTTTGGACTCTCGCTTGCTGAGGTGTTCCAGCGAGTGTCTCTGTAGATCTAGATTTAAGTCATTGACGTGCTGGCTGATACCCAAACAGGGGATGAGCTGGAGATGTCTCTGCCTTGGTCCTTTCACTACCGGCTGCTACTTCCCGGCGGATGTCAGGTGGTGCAATACTGGCTAAACAGTGTAATTTCTCCAGTGGTGTAGGGCACAGACACCCCGTGATAATGCAACATGTTTCAGTAAGAGCCACGTCCACTGTTTTAGTGTGGTGAGATGTGTTCCACACTGGGCATGCATACTCAGCAGTAGAGTAGCACAGCGCAATAATAAGCGACCAGCATGCAATAATAATAATAATAATAATAATAATAATATTTTATTTGTACCCTGCTACCATCTCCCCAAGGGACTCGGTGCGGCTTACATGAGGCTGAGCCCAAATACAACAATACACGCAATACTAACAATACAAGCAATTAAAATTAAAAAAAAACATGGACAATAAGATATGCAACATTAACAATAAGACAATACACAATTAAAACTGTGGGAAGGCCAAATGTAAAATTAAAATTGAAAATAATGCTGGAGCATGGGTGAAAAAGTGATGGGGCATTTGTGGAAACATACAAGCAGACCTAAAATGTAAAGTGCTTCGGAGGACAAAGTGCTATGGGATCATTATTCTGGGAAGGCACACTGGAACAACCACGTCTCCAAGCTCCTCCTAAAGACTGCCAGAGTTGGGGCCTGCCTGATGTCCTTAGGGAGTGAGTTCCAGAGTTGAGGGGCCACCACCAAAAAGGCCCTTTCTCTCATCCCCACCAATCGCACCTGCGATGCTGGTGGGATCGAGAGCAGGGCCTCTCCAGATGATCGAAGAGATCGTGTGGGTTCGTATACAGAGATGCGGTCACGCAAGTAAGCGGTTCCCAAACCGTTCAGGGCTTTTTAGGTAAGAACCTGCACCTTGAATTGGTTTTTTATTATTATTATTATTATTATTATTATTATTATTATTATTATAGTAAATAAATAAATAAGGTTTTATTGTGCTTATTACTTATTAAGGTCTTATTGTGCTTACTTAAATTATTTAAGATCATATTATTTATTTATTTATTTACTGTGCTTATATACCGCTGTTCTCAGTCCGGGGGCGACTCACAGCGGTGTACAACATAGAGAGGACAGGGTGCAAATTACAAGACACAATCTAAAATCAATCTAGCAATAACAAAAGCATCGTCATCAACAATATCAATATCAATAATACAAAAAGCCATTCGCATCGTCTCATCGTTAAACCACAATCCAGTATCATTTTCCGTTGTTCCATTCCTGTCGTCATTACCAATTATTGCACTTCTTGTTCGAATGCCTTCTTGAACAGCCACGTCTTTAATTTCCTGCGGAATATCATCAGGGAAGGAGCCAGTCTGATGTCCACGGGAAGGGTGTTCCACAGCTGAGGCGCCACCACCGAGAAGGCCCTGTCTCTCGTCCCCGCCAGGCGTGCCTGTGAGACAGGCGGGATCGAGAGCAGGGCCTCCCCGGACGATCTCAAAGTCCTGGTGGGCTCATAGGCCGAGATGTGGTCAGATAGGTATCTTGGGCCGGAACCGTTTAGGGCTTTATAGGCCAACGCCAGCACCTTGAATTGAGCCCGGTAGCAAATCGGCAGCCAATGGAGCTGGTACAACAAGGGCGTTGTATGCTCCCTGCGTCCCGCTCCTGTTAGTAACATGGCTGCCGCACGCTGGACCAGTTGAAGCTTCCGGGCCGTCTTCAAGGGCAACCCCACATAGAGAGCGTTGCAGTAGTCTAAGCGGGATGTAACCAGAGCGTGGACTACCGTGGCCAAGTCAGACTTCCCGAGTATGTTTATTAAGGTTTATTATGCTTCTTAGTTATTATTTTTGTTGGGCTTATTGCTTATTATTATTCATTAAGGTTTCATTGTGCTTATTTATTATTATTATTATTTTATTTATGCTTATTTATTGTTATTATTTATTAAGGTTTTCTTAAGCGCCTCAGGATGGCTCTCAGGGGAGCAGACATCAGGCTGCTGTGAGCACAATGATCCGGGAGAGATGTCAAAGCAACGAAGAGGGAAGGCCTCAGACATCTCTAATGCGGGGGGTAACAAATAAAGCGAAGGGTTGGGCCTAGTCCTGACGGGGGCAGGCAGGCTTTGCGGCCTACTTCTCTCCTTCCCTGCCCGCCTGCCTCCCGCCTCCTTTTCCCCCGCTCTCACCATCCGCCGTGGGCTCCGCGGCGGGCCCGGCCTGGGCCATAGCTTCGCCTCCGCCTCCTCCGTCCCGCTCCGTCACGTCGAGGCCGGCTCCGCCGCGACGTCAAAGGAATGAGGCGAAACTGAGGGCTTCGCGCATGCGCCGGGCGAAAAGGCGGGGCCAAGACCTGGCAGGCTGGCGCGTGATTGGCTCCGATTGCCGGGTGGGCGGAGCCAAGGAGAAAAACAGAGAGGGGGTTTGGGCATGCGCCGCCCGAGTCGCGTTCTGACAGTAGAAGACAGGCGAGGGATGGGACTTGGAAGGGAGATCTGCGCATGCGCCAGGCGAGTCCTAAAGAGAGGCGAGTTCTGACAGTATAACACCCAAGAGATGGGACTTGGAAGGGAGCTTTGCGCATGCGCCGGGAGAAAAGGCGGGGCCAAGTCCTGACACGCTCCGTGAGCCGGGTGGGCGGAGCCGAGGAGAAAAACGGAGGTTGCGCTTGCGCATGCGCCACCAGAGGCTTGTTCTGACAGTAGAACGGAGCCGAGAAATGGGACTTGGAAAGGCTCTCTACGCATGCGCTTGAGCGAAAAGTCTGATAGGCGGAGCTGAGGAGAAAAAACGGAGGTTGCTCTTGCGCATGCGCCACCAGAGGCTTGTTCTGACAGTAGAACGGAGCTGAGAGATGGGACTTGGAAATGCTCTTTACGCATGCGCTTGAGCGAAAAGTCTGATAGGCTTACACGCGATTGGCTCCGATTAAGGAGCCCCTGGTGGCCGGCAGGACTGAAGACCCACAAGTCGCAGGTTCGAATCCGGGGAGAGGCGGATGAGGAGGAAAGCCTCCCACAAGGATGATAAAAACATCAAATTATCCAGGCGTCTCCTTGACAACGTCCTTGCAGGCGGCCAATTCTCTCACACCAGAAGCGACTTGCAGTTTCTCAAGTCGCTCCTGACACGACAAAAAAAAGGCTCCGATTGCCTGGTGGGGGGGAACCAAGGAGAAAAACGGAGGGGGCTCTTGCGCATGCGCTACCCAAAGCGAGGTGCTTTGGGACTCCCAATGCGAGGTGATTTCTGACCGTGTAATACAGACTTCAAAGGGAGCTCTCTTGCGCATGCGCCAGCCAAAACCCATAGCCAAGGAATAAGCCTTAGAAAGGGAGTTCTGCGCATGCGCCGGGCGAAAAGGCGGGGCGAAGTCCTGACAGGCTTGCGCGCGATTGGCTCCGATTGCCTGGTGGGGCGGAGCCAAGGAGAAAAACAGAGGGGTCTCTTGCGCATGCGCTAGCCAAAACCCATAGCCAAGGAATAAGCCTTGGAAAGGGAGTTCTGCGCATGCGCAGCGAGTTCCGCCAGTATAGCAGAGCCGATAAATGGGAGTCGCTGGGAGCTCTGCGCATGCGCGGCGTGTTCTCCCAGAATAAGAGAGCTCACACAGGGAAGGAAGGAGCGACTGTGCGCATGCGCCAACCTTGGCTGAGGCAACTCGAGCCGCGTGAGGGAGAGAAACAGGCGCCATTTTGCTTCCTTTCCTTTTTTTTGGCGGGAAGCGGGCGCTTTCGAGGAATTCTTCTTGACAGTGGGAACGCCGTGGAAAACATGGGTTCCCTGTATTTCACCCGGATTAGAGGATATTTAGGGCATGTGTACAAACCATGAATGGCGGAAGGGTGTCAACAGAGACCAAGTTACGAGGACAAACCCTTTTGGAGCGTCCCCCGTAGATGAAAAGAGCGAACGGTAACACACAACATTGTTATTATTACTAGCCATCCCCTGCCATGTGTTGCTGTGGCCCAGTCTGTGTATATGTGTTTTCTATGTGTGTGTGTGTATATATATATATATATATATGGTTATTTACATACGTTGTAATGCATTTTTTTGGCTTTTAAAGTCCCTTCCTCTGTATTTTTCTGTGTTTTCATGAGTGATGGTCACTCATTGGCCTAATAGGTGTATTGTGTCCAAATTTGGTGTCAATTTGTCCAGTGGTTTTTGACTTAAGTTAATACCACAAACAAACATTACATTTTTATTTATATAGACTAGCCGTCCCTGCCATGCATTTCTGTGGCCCAGTCTGTGTGTTTTGTGTGTGTGTATCTATGTGTGTATATATTTGTGTATATGTGTATCTATGTGTGTTTCTGTATATATGTGGTTTTGCGCATGCATTGTAATGTCTTTTTTGGTGTGTTTTTCTGACTTTTTAAGTCTCTTCTGCAGTGTTTTTCAGTGTTTTTATGAGTGACTAGCTGTCCCCTGCCACGTGTTGCTGTGGCCCAGTCTGGTGATCTGGAAAAAAAAGTAATGAGAAAGTGCTGGTTTCTAATATATGTACTTTCTTTATGCTTGTGGGTAAACAGTATTTCTTGGTGTTTCTTTGTCAGTGTTGATGTGGAGATTGTCTGCTTTGCCTACTCTGGAACATGCAACATATAATAATCCTTCTTTAGGGGTTCCTTTCAAATCTATGATACTATTTATTCATTTATTTATCGTGTCAGTGTGACCAGTCGATTATATTACATTTCTAACAGAACAAAGCAAACAAACAGAGAAAATACAAAATGTGTGAGTTTGGTATTTGGTTAAATGTCCTTTGACCAGTATCTGGCCACTTGGAGTGCTTCTGGTGTTGCCGCAAGAAGGTCCTCCATTGTGCATGTGGCAGGGCTCAGGTTGCATTGCAGCAGGTGGTCAGTGGTTTGCTCTTCTCCGCACTCGCATGTCGAGGATTCCACTTTGTGGCCCCATTTCTGAAGGTTGGCTCTGCATCTCGTGGTGCCAGAGCGCAGTCTGTTCAGCGCCTTCCAAGTTGCCCAGTCTTCTGTGTGCCCAGGGGGGAATCTCTCGTTTGGTATCAGCCATTGGTTGAGGTTCTGGGTTTGAGCCTGCCACTTTTGGACTCTCGCTTGCTGAGGTGTTCCGGCGAGTGTCTCTGTAGATCTTAGAAAACTGCATCTGTCATATACATGTGTGTGAATGGCTGGATGGCCCTTTGTCAGGAGGGCTTTGATTATGTTTTCTTGCCCTGGTGAAGGGAGTTGAATTGGATGGCCTTAAGGCAGCATTTCTCAACCTGAAAGTCAATACCCCGGATGGGAGGTCACCAGGGGGGTGTCAAAAGGGTCACCAAAGATCACCAGAAAACACAGTATTTTCTGTTGGTCATTGGGGTTTTGTGTGAGATGTTTGGCCCAATTCCATCGTTGGTGAGGTTTGGAATGGTCCTTGACTGTAGGTGAACTATAAATCCCAGTAACTACAACTCCCAAATGTCAAGGTCTATTTCCCCCAAACTCCATCTGTGTGCATATTTGGGCATTTGGAATATTCATGCCAAGTTTGGTCCAGATTCATCATGGTTTGAGTCCACAGTGCTTTCTGAATGTAGGTGAACTACAACTCCCAAACTTAAGGTCAATGCCCACCAAACCCTTCCAGTATTCAGTGTTTGTTATTGGAGTTCTGCGTGCCAAGTTTGGTTCAACTCCATCATTGGTGGAATTCAGAATGCTCTTTGATTGTAGGTGAACTATAAATCCTAGCAACTACAACTCCCAAATGAGTAATGGTCACTCCTTGGGTTAGTAGGTGTCTTGTGTCCAAATTTGGTGTCAATTCTTCCAGTGGTTTTTGAGTTATGTTAATCCCATAAAAACGGACATTACATTTTTATTTATATAGATTTATATTCTGCTTTTTCTCTCTAACAAGGAGACTCAAAGCAGCTCGGTATCTATTTAGTACTGATGTCGAGCCTACCCGATCTACGCTGACGAGCGTGCCATCACCGCTCAAGCAGGGATCTCAAAATGGTTGAACAGAAGCTCTCTGAAGCTTTAGGTACTCCTACTGCCTCTTACAGGGAAAAATGGCTGATCCCTAATCCATCTTAAACACAAATGTGTAGATTGCGTAGAGGGACTCGTGTCTCAACATCAGTACTAATAATAGATACCTAGCTGTTTTGAGTCTCCTTGTTGGAGAGAGGAGACAATCATCTTGAGCTCTTGGGAAGGAATCTGACTGGAGCATTGCAGCACATCCAAATGCCTGGGAGTTACCCAGTGTTTCAGTGTCAATGTTGAATTTTGTGTAGAGGTGGCTACCAAGGTAGCGGAAATGGTCAACATTTTCTAATGTTACACCATTAAGCTGTATCTCTGGCATTGGAGAGGGATTAGCTGGTGACTGCTGGAAGAGGACTTTGGTTTTCCCGTTCAATTACAGGCCGAGCTTCTCATATGCTTCTGTGAAGGTCTTTAGAGTGGCTTGTAGGTCTTATTCTGAATGTGCACAGACAACGCTGTCATCAGCATATTAGAGTTCTATACCACCCATGTATAAATACCAAAATCCATGGATGCGAAAGTCTAGTATACAATGGTACAGTTTTGAAAAATGACACAATCAAGCTTTGCCTTTTTGAAGTTTTAAAAATGGTTTTCAGGCCGTGGATTCAGAATTTATGGCTGTGGAGGGCCAACTGAATTTTTATGTGCTTGGGAGGAAGCCCCCTGATTTGCTTCAAAACATACTTTCTGTTTAAAATGCATTTCAATTAGTGGGGCAGTCATTGTATTACCATTGTTGTCGGTGTTCTGTGCCTTGAAGCTGTTTCTGTCTTACGGGGACACAAACCCATCGGGTTTTCCTGGCAAGATATGTACCCCAGAGGTCCTCCATGGGTTTTGACAGCCAAGTGGGGATTAAAACTCTAGTTTCTAGAGCTGTAGCTGGTATTCAAACCAATATACCACGCTGTTGGTAATATTGTTGTTCATTCGTTCAGTCGTCTCCGACTCTTTGCGACCTCATGGACCAGCCCACGCCAGAGCTCCCTGTCGGCCGTTACCACCCAGCTCCTTCAAGGTCAGTCCAGTCACTTCAAGGATGCCATCCATCCATCTTGCCCTTGGTCGGCCCCTCTTCCTTTTGCCTTCCACTTTCCCCAGCATAATTGTCTTCTCTAGGCTTTCCTGTCTCCTCCTGATGTGGCCAAAGTACTTCAACTTTGTCTCTAGTATCTTTCCCTCCAGTGAGCAGTCGGGCTTTATTTCCTGGAGGATGGACTGGTTGGATCTTCTCGCAGTCCAAAGCTCTCTCAGCACTTTCCTCCAACACCACAGCTCAAAAGCATCGATCTTCCTTCGCTCAGCCTTCCCTAAGGTCCAGCTCTCACGTCCGTAGGTGACTACAGGGAATACCATGGCTTTGACTAGGCGGATCTTTGTTGCCAGTCTGATGTCTCTACTCTTTACTATTTTATCGAGATTGGACATTACTCTCCTCCCAAGAAGTAAGCGTCTTCTGATTTCCTGGCTACAGTCTGCATCTGCAGTAATCTTTGCACCTAGAAATACAAAGTCTGTCACGGCCTCCACGGTTTCTCCCTCTATTTTCCAGTTGTCAATCATTCTTGTTGCCATAATCTTGGTTTTTTTGACGTTTAGCTGCAACCCGGCTTTTGCGCTTTCTTCTTTCACCTTGATTAGAAGGCTCCTCAGCTCCTCCTCGCTTTCGGCCATCAGAGTGGTGTCCTCTGCATATCTGAGGTTGTTAATGTTTCTTCCAGCAATTTTCTCTCGCTTTCAGCCATCAGAGTGGTGTCATCTGCATATCTGAAGTTGTTAATGTTTCTTCCAGCAATTTTCACCCCAGCTTTGCATTCATCCAGCCCCGCACATCGCATGATGTGTTCTGCATACAAGTTAAAAAGGTTGGGTGAGAGTATGCAGCCTTGCCGTACGCCTTTCCCAATCTTGAACCAGTCTGTTGTTCCGTGGTCAGTTCTGACTGTTGCTACTTGGTCCTTGTACAGATTCCTCAGGAGAGAGACAAGGTGGCTTGGGATGCCCATCCCACTAAGAACTTGCCACAATTTATTATGATCCACACAGTCAAAGGCTTTAGAATAGTCAATGAAGCAGAAGTAGATGTTTTTCTGAAACTCCCTGCCTTTCTCCATTATCCAGCGGATTAGAACCAGACATCCTGAGGAGTGAGGTTGAATGGGCCTTAAGAAGCATTGCTAACAACAAGGCAGCAGGAGACGACGGGATCCCAGCTGAACTGTTTAAAATCTTAAAAGATGATGCTGTCAAGGTGATGCATGCCATTTGCCAGCAAATATGGAAAACACAAGAATGGCCATCAGACTGGAAAAAATCAACTTATATCACCATACCAAAAAAGGGAAATGCGAAAGACTGCTCAAACTTCCGTACAGTGGCCCTTATTTCTCATGCCAGTAAGGTAATGCTCAAGATCCTGCAAGGAAGACTCCAGCAATACATGGAGCGAGAGTTGCCAGATGTTCAAGCTGGGTTTAGAAAAGGCAGAGGAACGAGAGACCAAATTGCCAATATCCGCTGGATAATGGAGAAAGGCAGGGAGTTGGTAATATATGAAAATCAATTCCCAATGAAAATTGTTTCACTCCGTTCCTGATGTCACAGATGTGGCGTAATGTAAAATAAACCACGTGCAGTTCATGTTTGATCAGCCCACATACTGCCTTGCTAGAAAAAGAAAATATGCCTCAGGTGAACAAGTAGTTTACTCTTCGTAGTTCAAAACAACATATGCACAATGCCCATCAACTCACATAAAGTCTTTGTATGAGAGGATTAAAATGGTCCTTCTTTGTCCATGTGGACAACTCTTTCATCAGTTCACGAAGCAAGAGCACATTCCAAATTCTGGGTCTCTCTCTGCTCTCTGAACACCTGCACAGCTCAAACCTGAACAAAAATGTAACAGTATCCAAAAGTCCTAGGCTCACCCTGCTCCTTGGGCATTGCCCAACCAATCAGCGTCATGCATCTTATTTGACACACACTCACTCACTGATTCCTTGCACGCTCCAATAACAGACATTCCCAATTCCCTTTCTCCCAGTCATTGTCCTCTTTAGTCTTTCAACGGGGACGTCAACTAAACCCATCCTGTCGACATTTTGGGGCTATTCCACACAAAAACACGTAACAACAACACTGACTTAACACACATGGTCCTAATAAAATCAATGGGACCACACGTTGGGGACTCAATGGTGTTTACGTCTTCCCCAAAGCAAAACATAGATCTCCAGCGTCTTTCTGATGGTGATTGTTTTGCTTTGGAAATGAAGGCGAGTCCCAAAATTCTCATAATAAGTTCAAAAAGGCAGGGGAGGCAACGGAAAGAGAGAAGTATCCTCCTGAGAACAGGCTATAAGACCAACCGATTGAGTTTGTGTCACAGAACCACCCGTTGGCTTGCAATAATAATTTGTTCTCCACCCCCTAACCCCAGGCATTTTGTGCAGTTGAACATCTTCTCAAGAGCGGTAGGGAAAGTATGTCGTTTCTCTCCTCATGTTTAAGAGGTTCCATGTGGGTCCACGGCTCTGAAAAATGGAAAGCAGATGAGATTTTTCATGAGATTTACATATACACACACAATTTGGGGGGTGGGTGTGGGTGAGAAGGGACTTTAAAGGCTGGCAGTCAAGGGGCGTACGTTGATTCAAAGCTGAAATAAACATAAACGCATGAACTGCTTTGAAAGCTGCCTGTATAGTGGAACCTCAACATAAGAGCATCCCAACTTAAGAGCATTTTGACTTCAGAGTCATTGTTCAGCCTGGTTTTGCTTTGACATAACAGCAGCATTTTTAGGTAAGAGCTGTCACTCAGCCCTGGTTTTGTTTTGACATATGAACAGTGTTTTGAGTTACAGGCAAGCACCAGAGAACAGGACTTTAGGGCTTCAAGGGAGCTGCCTCCGGGCCTTGTGTTATTGTCTGCTTTGGGAGATTGCTGACATTCAAGTCTTGTGTGATGATAAACTTGGATTATCACAGCATTATGAAGGTTGAGAAACACTGCTCTAGTTAATGGTAGACCTGGCCATCTTTACACATGGAAATGTCATGTGCCAAACTGAAAGACGATCCTAATTTATTTACACTTGCCGAAAAACAAATAAAAAGAATACCTTCATGTCACAACTTCAGTTTTATTGAACAGGAGAGCACCTGGATGGTCCGTCAAAAAAGATAAAAAAAGTCACTGGTGAAGTTGCTGAAAACAGGAAATTTGGAAACAAAAAAGTGTCCTTTTTTCACCTGTCCACTATAGTTCTCCTGCTTTTAAGCGATGATGGACATCTCCTCTCTGTCTCGATTCTCATTCACCAAGTTAGTGATTTTCTTGAGATACTTGATGAACTCCATCCGGACGTCCTCGGGGTCTTCTTCGAGGGAGGAATGGATCAGCTGCAGCCGGTTCAGCGGAGGAGCTTTGAAGTTGAAGAGGAAAACCATTACAATTGGAACTTTGGGACAATGCGCTCCACATACTGTGGTTGTGATATTTATTTGTCTTGCACCTCCTACCAAAATTAGATTTCAAGGCGGTTTACTGTTCGAAAAAGCAATAACTTATAAAGTGACACACACAGCCTTTATCACAGGCATGGACCAACTTCGGCCCTCCAGGTGTTTTGGACTTCAACTCCCAACATTCCTAACAGCCTTCCCAGAGAATAGGACACAAGGGAACCATGGCTTCAAATGACAGGAAAGGAGATTTCACTTGACTGTGAGAGAGATCTGGTCAGCAGTGGAATTCTTCCTCTGCCTTGGAGGGAGTGTGGTGGATGCTCCTTTGGAGGCTTTGAAACAGAGGCTAGATGGCCATCTGCCAGGGGGGCTCTGAGTGCAATTTTCCTGCTTCTTGGAAGAAAGGGGTTGGATTGGATGGCTCACCAGGTCTCTTCCAACTCTATGATTTTATGATTCCTCCAGGTAATAAGCCAGACCTTGAAACTGCTAGGCCATTAAATGCTAATCAAAGTGGCCAATGGCAAAATTCACACCTACCTCCAACACACAAGAGTTCCTTCACCCACCCTGGACATTATTCCACAGATATATAAACCCCACTTGCCTAGTTTCCAACAGACCTCACAACCCCTGAGGATGCCTGCCTTAGATGTGGGAGAAACGTCAGGAGAGAATGCTTCTGGAACATAGCCAGACATCCCGGAAGACTCACAACAACCCAATCCATTGTTATTTTGCATCAAAAATTAATAATCCTTTAGAGAAAAAAAATACCATAACATATAAAATGAAAAGTAAAATAGAGAAAGGAACACGCTGAGCTGGGCAGCGAATCTGGCCGCCTTACGCAAGTGGAGGTCTTCGGTGTCTCCCGAGGAGCCAGGCTTGTGGTGGGCGATGAGGAGGCACTGGCTGTCGAGCAGCTGCTGCTGCTGGACAAAGCAGGAGTGCCACATCTCGATCTCCTTCACGTGGCTGGGCAGATCCGGGTTAAAGACAATGACCGCCCCATGGGAATCCTTTGTCAGAGCCGGCCAGCAAGTCTCGAACCTGAAAGCGCAACAACAGAGAAACGCCACCCATTGTGGGGTGACCAGGGTCATAAGTATTGGAATTCAACCTCACACTGCCCAAAGAGACCCAAGGAGGAGCAGTGAGTTTAGTATAGATTAAGGGTTTCCCTTCCCCCATGTCTTCTGTTTCAATCATCTCTCAGCAAAGGATTCCCCCAGGCAGTAAGAAGCCACACCTTGGAACTGCTAGGCCGTTTAATGGTAATCAAGGTGGCCATTCATACCTACCTCCAACAGACAAGAGTTCTTTCTCCATCCTGGACATTATTCCACAGATATATAAACCCCACTTACCTAGTTTCCAACAGACCTCACAACCTCTGAGGATGCCTGCCACAGATGCAGGCGAAATGTCAGGAGAGAATGCTTCTACAACATGGCCATACACCCCAAAAAACTTATAACAACCCAATGATTCCGGCCATGAAAGCCTTCGACAATAAATCTAAATTTTGCACAGCCATAGTACCAACCAAGGTTTGTAACCTAATCCTGTCTTCAAGCCATAGCTTCCGATTCTAGGCTTGACAGCTAATTGCAAGCCCTGATTTTGTCAATTTAGATTTTATTAGGAAGAACTTCCTGACCATATGAGCTGTTCAACAGTGGAACTCTCTGCCTCTGAGTGTGGTGTAAGCTTTTAAACAGAGGCTGGATGGCCATTTGTCAGGGATACTTTGATTGTGCTTTTCCTGCTTGGCAGAGGGTTGGACTAGAGGGCTCATGGGGTCTCTTCCATCTCTATTATTCTGTGATTCTATGTCAAGCTATAGTTCAGCTTCTTTTGCTTTGTTCTAGTGTTGGATCTGAAATACTGTTGACAGTTGACAGAATGAGTGAGTAGGTACTTACTTTTGATCGCCACTGCAGTCCCACAGCTCAAACCGACATCCTGCTCCTTTGCTGTTCCCGTTGAGATGTGGCTTCTCGAATTCAAGAATCCTAAAACAGTTTTGAAGTGAGACACAAAACGCCCATGTAAAACTCAGTAGCACAAATTCCTATTCACTGGGACCTATGTTCTTAAATCCTGAAAAGTCGGGTCCAGGTACATCATCACCATCATATTTCTTATCTCCCTAAAGGTTGAAGTGAGGAACAAGATATTAAAATACAGCAACAAATAGATGCCCAAAAGAGTTGAAAGCACAAATACAATTTGGAGATGGTACATTGCTCCAGTAATGTCAAGTTATTATAATAGGAATCATCTACAAAATTGTTGGAGGTGCAATAAAGAAACCGGGACACATACATTTATGGTGGGAGTGTGAAAAGATATTTTTAAAAAGAGGTTGGTCAATAAGTAGATGATACAGGAAAGCAAAGAAAGAAATTGATAGGTGAGTAGGTAGATAGGTACGGGGCCATTCCTGAAAGATTTCCCCGGATCCACTTCCTGTGGGCAGAGAGCAATGAAACTTGGCCCAGTTCTGAGTCCTCTTCTCCCATCTTTTGAAGCCACTGTAAACACCTTGCATGTTGAAGTCAACAGGTTGCTCCAAAAGCCACTCTGTGACTTTGGAAATCAGGGTCTCATCACCTGAAAAACGCTTGCCCTTCACAAATAACTTCTTTGTTGGAAAGAGGTGGAAGTTCGATGGTGCGAGGTCGGGTGAATAAGGGGGATGCAGTAGGATTTCAAAGCCACAGAAACATGCTGCTTCCACTTGGGCAACAGGTGAGTTGTCAACTGGAGCATCGTCTTGTAAAAGGCAAAGGACATCCTTGTTGAGCATGCCACATTGTCTCTTGGTTTGGATGGCCTCCCACCATTTCCACAGCAGTGAAGCCTAGTCTCCCCCATGGATCCTGGTCCCCTTTGCTAGGAAATCCACCCATCCTCCTCCGTGCTGGTCCCAAAATCCTGTGAGAAGGACCTTGCCTGCCGAGAGTTGGGCAGGGCCTTCTTTGGAAGCGGTGAGTCAGGATGGTTCCATTTCATCGACTGGACTGCAGTCTCAGGTTCAGAGTGATGGACCCAGCTTTCATCCTGTGTGATCCGTCTGTTGAAAAAATCCTCATCATTGTCAAGAGAGCTTTCAATTCACTAGGTCCTGATTCTGGAAAGGTGTGAGCAGCTGGGGAACCCAGCGAGTGGAGATTTTATTCATGCGAAGGTGGTCTTGGGTGATTTTTTTCCTCGGTCCCCACACTCATTTTGGGCTAGGTGGCCAGTGGTTATGCGGCGATTTCCAAAACAGCGACCACCACTTGCTGGATGGTGTGTCCATCAATAGCAGAGTGGGTCCGCCCTGGAATTGGAGCTGTTTACATTTGAATTGACGATGCCAGTTCTTGACTCCATCAGATGATGGGGAATCTTCCCCATCGACCTCTTTTTTTTTAAAATCTCATCCAACGTCTCCTTTGGATGAGATGTTGGATGAGATTTAAAGGCTCCTGTGCTGCCTTTCAAGGAAAGGAACTTGAAGAAGGCCTGGTTTTGGGACCAGGCCTTCGGGCAGTAGAAGTAAATGTATGCAGTATTTCAGAAAGACAATGACTGGAACGGCGATTTGACAGACGAGACTGTTTTATTGTTTCAATGATTGTTTTATTGCTTGTGGATGCACTGTTTTTAACTTGATTTATGTCTAATTGTATTGTATAATTGTAATTGTTTGTACTGGCATTGAATTTTGCCATTACTTATGTGTAAACTGCTTTGAGTCCCCCTCGGGGTGAGAAAAGCGGTATACAAATACTGTAAATAATAATAATAATAATAAATAATTCCGCTGGGTCCATTCTCAAACCTCACACCACTTTAGCACCTGTCAAATCAAAACCATTATCAGTTCTGAGTTGTAAATTGGCACATAACCTATAGAAACTTGTATCATTACACATGCACAGTTACAGCATTCTGTGATAAACAGAAGTGGGTCAGGGGAAAAATTTAATGAACGCCCCTCATAGATGTAGAAAGAGAAAGAAATGTATTGGTGGATGGATGGATGAATGAATGGATGGATGGATTGGTAGACAGAGACACAGGTGAATTGATAGAATAGATAGAAATGTATTGGTGAATGGATGGATGGATAGATAGGTAGACAGAAAGACAGATACAGATAGAGAAAGATGTGTATTTATAATATTTGGGGGTGGGATAGGCTCAGGCTTCTTGTGTGGGAGAAGAAAAACACGAGAAAGAGTCAAAGAAGAGCAACAAACAGCTTACAGGGGCTTTTTAACATAAATATATTTCTATTTTTTAAGTAATTGTTTTTGTGGAGAAAGGTTGCAGTGCTACACTATTGCAGGAGTACACGAGCTAGAGGGAACACGCACATGCACATACAAGCCACATGAACCAGGGCAGAAGTATAGTACACGAGCCTGAAGGTAGGGCAGAAGAGGGAAATACATGAGAAATGAGGGAAATAAAATAATGGCCATGCTGTTACGGCATACAATCCGGCATACAAGAATACCGAATCACCCAGATCTGGGCACAGCCCTGCGGTCAGATGTATTCTAGCAGGTCCTTTAGCAATTCCACAGTTCCTGGTTGACCGATGAAAAGGTCCATCAGCCTGGTCCTGGCTGACTGAAGGAAACGCCTTTGGCAAAAGCGAGAGTAACATTCCAAAAGTGACCTCCTCAAGACTCACCTCACTCCTTGTGTCGGGATGTAACTGCCAATTCCCTCTGTGCTTTCGGACAGGAAGTTTGCCAAGACGGATTTCCCAGCCTGATACAAATGACCACAGTGGAAGCACGTTTTAGCAGGAATCAAGACAAGCAGATATCACAGTGCTATCTCCTAGAACAGCGTTTCTCAACCTGGGGGTTGGTAACCTGGGGGCGGGGTCGCAAGGGGGTTTCAGAGGGGTTGCCAAAGACCATCAGGAAACACATATTTCTGATGGTCTGAGAAACCCCTTTGGCAGAGAAGGCTGAAGATCTCTCCACGTGTCCTTCTCTTCCCTTTCGGAAACAGACGGCGAATCCTCCCACCAAAAACTCTCATCTGCTGTGATTGGCTGGCCTCTCAGCCAAGGGGAGGGCTGCTTCTGAGACTCCAAGCGCGGAGGGGAGAGCAGGCATGCTCAGCGCGTGGTGTGAGGGAGAGTGTGAAGGGCGGGAGGGAGGCTCACGTCATCGAGTCCCTTAAAGCAGTGGTTCTCAATCTGGGGTCCCCAGATGTTTTTGGCCTACAACTCCCAGAAATCCCAGTCAGTGTACCAGCTGTTAGGATTTCTGGGAGTTGAAGGCCAAAAACATCTGGGGATCCCAGGTTGAGAACCACTGCCTTAAAGCCATGTGGGTTCTGTGTGGGAAGTTTGCCCAATTCTATCATGGGTGGGGTTCAGAATGCTCTTTGATTGTATGTGAACTATAAATCTCAGCAACTACAACTCTCAAATGTCAAGGTCTATTTTCCCCAAACCCCACCAGTGTTCACTTTTGGGCATATTGAGGATTCATGCCAAGTGTGGTCCAGATGCATCATTGTTTGAGTCCACAGTGCTCTCTGGATGTAGGTGAACTACAACTCCAAAACTCAAGGTCAATGCCCACCAAACCCTTGTAGTGTTTCCTGTTGGTCATGTGAGTTCTATGTAATATAATAAAATATAAAATTATAATATAATATTATAGTAATAGAACATAATGTAATACAATAATCTATATAAATAAAAATGTATTGTTTGTTTGTGGGATTACCATAACTAAAAAACCACTGGACGAATTGACACGAAATCTGGACACAATACACCTAACAGTCCAACAAGTGTCCCTCACCCCTAAAACACACACACACACACACACACAAACCCCAGCGGCGCAGACTTAAAAACCCGCAAAATACACCATATATACATATACACATACACTCATATACATATACACATGCACACATACATACACACATGTATACATACAAATATGCATAGACAAGTACACACATAAACACAATATGCATGTACACATATAAACACACAAATACACAAATATATATACACACACATATATACACACACAAAACACAGATACAGACTGGGCCACAGCAACGTGTGGCAGGGGATGGCTAGTAATAATATATAATAAGTATAATAATGTAATTTAATATAACACAACACAATTATAAAAATAGTAATAAAATATAATAATGTAATACAATTATAATATAATACAATATACAATTATAATATATAATAAGTACAATAATAAAACATAATAATAGTGGTTATATAATAACAATATATAATAATGTAATAAGTAGTGGTATCTCTCGCTCACCTCGCTGGGGCCCACGAAAAGGATTTTCACCCTCAGCATCGCTCTTTTCCGTGCCTAGGCCGCAGAGCCTCGGCTTCGCGTAACTCGCCAGGCCGAACTGAGTGGCGAGGAGGCGGGCCTAGCCGTCCCTGGAGGCCCCGCCCACGCCGGTTGCTAAAGGGAGGAGAGAGCTTGGCCGTTGCTAGCGCCGTTGCTAAGGGGAGGAGCATCCTGTTCCGAGTGATGCTAAGGGAGGAGGAGATTGCTTGGCCGTTGCTAGGGGGCGGAGACCTTTGCTAGCGCCGTTGCTAAGGGGCGGGGACTTGTTAAAACTTGGCTGTTTAGAGGGAAAGGGGCGGGGCCGCTGCAGCCTCTCTCTCGAGTTGTTTCCAAATGTATATTATGATGTTTCTTTCTGCAATATTAAATGTCTTTATAGCATTTGTGAACTTTCCAATATATAATGTCTATGTCCATAAACATATATATTTAGACATGGAAGGCTGGCCTGTCCAGATGAAGCACCATGTGATGCTATCCATGTGGAAGCTTCTGCTATTTAACTGGGCAGACTGAAAGCCAAAACCAAGGTCACAATAACATCTGTTATAGAACTCCAATATGCTGATGATAACGTAGTCTGTGCACATTCAGAAGACCTACAACATCTGTTTATAGAACTCCAATACGCTGATGATAAAGTAGTCTGTGCACATTCAGAAGACCTACAACATCTGTTATAGAACTCCAATGCGCTGATGATAACGTAGTCTGTGCACATTCAGAAGACCTGCAACATCTGTTATAGAACTCCAATACGCTGATGATAACGTAGTCTGTGCACATTCAGAAGACCTACAACATCTGTTTATAGAACTCCAATACGCTGATGATAAAGTAGTCTGTGCACATTCAGAAGACCTACAACATCTGTTATAGAACTCCAATACGCTGATGATAACGTAGTCTGTGCACATTCAGAAGACCTGCAACATCTGTTATAGAACTCCAATGCGCTGATGATAACGTAGTCTGTGCACATTCAGAAGACCTGCAACATCTGTTATAGAACTCCAATGCGCTGATGATAACGTAGTCTGTGCACATTCAGAAGACCTACAACATCTGTTATAGAACTCCAATGCGCTGATGATAACGTAGTCTGTGCACATTCAGAAGACCTGCAACATCTGTTATAGAACTCCAATGCGCTGATGATAACGTAGTCTGTGCACATTCAGAAGACCTACAACATCTGTTTATAGAACTCCAATACGCTGATGATAAAGTAGTCTGTGCACATTCAGAAGACCTACAACATCTGTTATAGAACTCCAATGCGCTGATGATAACGTAGTCTGTGCACATTCAGAAGACCTGCAACATCTGTTATAGAACTCCAATACGCTGATGATAACGTAGTCTGTGCACATTCAGAAGACCTGCAACATCTGTTATAGAACTCCAATACGCTGGTGATAACGTAGTCTGTGCACATTCAGAAGACCTACAACATCTGTTATAGAACTCCAATACGCTGATGATAACGTAGTCTGTGCACATTCAGAAGACCTGCAACATCTGTTATAGAACTCCAATACGCTGGTGATAACGTAGTCTGTGCACATTCAGAAGACCTACAACATCTGTTATAGAACTCCAATACACTGATAGCGTGGACTGTGCACATTCAGAAGAAGACCTACAACATCTGTTATTGACATGGAAGGATTATTTATTTATTTTGTATCAAAATCATAGCATAAAGTAATATAAAACACAAATAGTTTTCGACCAAAAAACGGGCAACAGCAATGGCATTGTCTGTAGCCTTAAACAGTTCTTCCTCTGTGCATGAGGCAGGGCACTGTGGGCAAGCATACAGGTGCGGAGTTGTCTGTTCTGCTCCACAATCACACAAGCTTTGGGATTCTTTTAGGTAGTACCATTTGGCCAGGTTGTCTTTTGATTTGCCCACTCCACTTCTAGTCTGTTCAAGGACTTCCACATTGCCCATTCTTGGTTTGCTCCTGGAGGAAGACCCTCCCTCATAGGGGGGCTCATCCAGTTGGGATTTCCTGGTTGAGCTGCCCAGAGGGATGCTCTTGCTGTTGCTGGAGGAACATTAAGAGGAGTGGTAGTTCTCATGAAGCTTTTCCTTGATTTAAGTCTACTGGGAGGAGGCTGATAGCCATTCAGTGTGTGGCTTTCACAGAGTTCAATCTTATTTCTCTCACAGTTGGCAGCAATTTCCCATCACAAATCGTCCCCCTTCATCAGTTTGCTTAGAGAGTCTGAACCACTTGGACAGCCACCATGTCAGAAGCCACTGAAATCCACAAGAAGCAGGTGGACGATTTCAACAGAAAGGAAGAAACCATTAAAATGAACAAAATAACAAAAAATCTCTAAATCATAACAGTAAATAAAGGACAACACTAAAAAAAGAGGGGAATTCCAGAAAAGAAACAATCAGGGCCAGCTAACACCTCCCAACAAAGGATCCCCCAGGCAGGAAGCAGCAAGACTTTGAAGCTGCACGGCCATTCATTTATTCATTCAACAGTTTGGGCCCCGCCTATATCCACAATTGCATCTCCTTCTATGAACCAGCATGGACTCTTAGATCTTCTGGTGAGGCCCTTCCGTCACTGAGGGAGAGGGCCTTTGTGGTGGTGACCCCCTCCTCCTTTGAAATGCTAACCCCAGAGAGATAAGACATGTCCCATCACTATCCTTCTTCTGCAGGGACCTGAAGACTTGGTGGTTCCAGCAGGTCTTTGATAATGACTAGCCCCAGGCCCTACCCTGATCAGTTCAGACCCTGCTTGGCACTTCACCCACGTTCCTCACTCCTTGCCAACCCGTGGTACTAGCCCTGGCCCAGACCTTTTATAGCTGTCCAGCAGGCCTTTGAAAATGACTAACCCCTGGCCATCAGTTAGGACCCTACTCTGCACTTTACCCGTTCTCTCGGTCCTATGTTACTTCATGCACTAGCCCTGGCCCAGACTTCTCATGGTGTCTAGGCCCTCTGAAATTCTGGCCACTGGTAGCCCAAATTTCCTGTTGTTGGGGGGACTCCAAGAGGAGTGGTAGTTCTCATAAATCTTTTCCTTGATTTGAGTCTACTGGGAAGAAGCTGGTAGCCATGCAGTGGGTGGCTTTCACAGTGTTCAACCTTATTTCTCTCACATTTAGCAGCAACTTCCCTTCACACATGGGGGGGGGGGGGCACTGCCAGCTAGCTTGTAGAGCATATCAACAGGTGTAGGTTTAAGACATCCTGTGATTATTCTGCATGTTTCATTTAATGCTCTGTTCACCTGCTTTGCGTGGACGGACTTAAGCCAAACAGGGCAGGCATACTCAGCAGTTGAGTAAGACAAGGGCAGGGCTGATGTCCTTATTCATTTTGGGTCTGCACCCCATGTGCTGCCAGTAAGTTTCCGCAGGATGTTATTGCGTGCAGTGTTTCCTATATGCTAGTGTTCGATCTAAGGTGACACCGAGATATGGAAACAGTGTTCAAGTTCTTGACCTTCCCAGGTAACTTTCAATTTCCTGTTGGCTTCACGGTTGCGTAGATGGAAAGCACATACTTGTGTCTTGGCAGGGTTAGGCCCCTCAGTTTTTAACTGGGAGACACTTATCAGTCAGATATTTGTAACTTGGGGGTGGCCTGTTTACATATAAAATAATAATATAATAATGCTAATCTGTATAAATAAAAATGTAATGTTCATTTGTGATATTAACATAACTCAAAAACCACTGGACAAATTGCTGCCAGATTTGGCCACAAGATACCTACTAACCGAAGGAGTGACCATCACTCAAAAGAAAATGGATTTTGTCATTTGGGGGTTGTAGTTGCTGTGATTTATAGTTCACCTACATTCAAAGAGCATTCTGAACTCCACCAATGATGGAATTGAACCAAACGTGGCACACAGAACTCCCATGAACAACAGGAAACACTAGAAGGGTTTGGTGGGCATTGACCTTGAGTTTGGGAGTTGTAGTTCACCTACATCCAGAGAGCACTATGGACTCAAATAATAATGGATCTGGACCAAACCTGGCACGAATATTCCATATGCCCAAATATGAACACAGATGGAGTTTGGGCGAAATAGACCTTGACATTTGGGAGTTGTAGTTACTGGGATTTATAGTTCACCTATAATCAAAGAGCATGCTGAACTCCACCAATGTCAGAATTGGGCCAAACTTCCCACACAGAACCACCATACTTAAGGCCATGTACTCCACCTCCCTTCACCAGGGCAAGAGAACGTAATCAAAACCCTCCTGACAAAGAGCCATCCATCCATAGATATAGATAGATATATATGATTCACACACACATATGTATATGACAGATATAGTATCATAGACTTGAAAGGGACCCCTAAAGAACGACAATTACCTATGTTGCATGTTCCAGAGTAGGCAAAACAGACAATCTCCACATCAACACTGACAAAGAAACAGCAAGAAATACTGTTTACCCACAAGCATCAAGAAATTACATATATTATAAACCAACACTTTCTCATTACTTTATTTTCCAGATCACCACACTGGGCCACAGCAATGCGTGGCAGGGGACAGCTATTGTATAAAACAAAATAATACCACGAATAATACACAATAGAAGATCCACCTCCCTTCTCGTGGTCTCAGCCCCTCTATTCAAACTGACAGAAAAAGCAGTTTAATACACAGTAAAGTTATGTAGTAATTACCGTATTTATGAATTTATCACCAGAACATTGCAGTGTATTGAAACAGCTGTGCATTCAGGGGGGAGGCAGACTGCATTGGATAATACGGAATGTTGGATGAGTGAAAGTTGGATAAGCGAGACTCTACTGATTTACGAATTGAGCGCTAAAACATCGCAGTGTATTGAAACAGCTGTGGATCCGGGTGGGAGGCAGACTGTGTTGGATAATACGGAACGTTGGATTAACCAAGATTGGATAAGCGAGATTCTACTAGATTTCCGAATTGAACACCAAAACATTGCAACATATTGAAACGGCCATGGATCCGGGTGGGAGGTATACTGTTTTGGATAATATGAGATGTTGGATGAGCAAAAATTGGATAAGCAGACTGCATTGGATAATACAGAATGTTGGATGAGCGAAGGTTGGATAAGCGAGACTCTACTAGATTTCCGAATTGAGCACCAAAACATCGCAACATATTGAAACAGCCATGGATCCGGGTGGGAGGCATACTGCATTGGATAATATGGGACGTTGGATGAGCAAAAATTGGATAAGCAGACTGCATTGCATAATGCAGAACGTTGGATGAGCGAAGGTTGGATAAGCGAGACTCTACTAGATTTCCAAATTGAGCACCAAAACATCGCAATGTATTGAAACAGCCATGGATCCGGGTGGGAGGCATATTGCGTTGGATAATATGGGACGTTGGTTGAGCAAAAATTGGATAAGCAGACTACATTGGGTAATATAGAACGTTGGATGAGCGAAGGCTGGATAAGCGAGACTCTACTAGATTTCCGAATTGAGCACCAAAACATCGCAACATATTGAAACAACCATGGATCCGGGTGGGAGGCATACTGCGTTGGATAATATGAGATGCTGGATGAGCGAAAATTGGATAAGCAGACTGCATTGGATAATACAGAACGTTGGATGAGCGAAGATTGGATAAGCAAGACTTTACTGAGCAACAAAACACTGCAACATATTGAAACAGCTGTGGATCCGGGCAGGAGGCATACTGCATTGGATAATGCAAAATGTTGGATGAGCGAAGGTTGGATAAATGAGACTCTACTGGATTTACGAACTGAGCATGAAAACATTGCAATGTATTGAAACAGCTGTAGATCCAGGTGGGAGGAAGACTGCATTGGATAATATGGAACATTTAATGAGTAAAGGTCGGATAAGCGAGACTCTACTGTATATAATATAATAATATGAATAACATAATATAATAATAGTAGTTACACACAGTATAAAATCCCCGTCCCTTCCTGTGATGTCAGTCCCTCTGTCATTAACTTGGAGTTGTTCGTAAGTCGGATTTTTGCAACTCAAAGAACACTCATCCTAAGTTGTGCTTTCCACATAGTTGCAGACAGGGATCGCAATTCTGCCTGCAAGGGACTCACTCTTGGGGAAAGCCCGACAGAAGGAGGACCCCAGGTTGTTGCTGTGGCTTCAGTGCTCTTCTGGCAGTGGCTGGCAAGTGGGGGTCTTGCCTGGGATTGACTCCTGCTGGATGCCGGCTTTCGGTGGTCTTTTGGCCCAGAAGGGGTTAACCCTGCGCCCCCCCCCCACACCCACCCACCCCCGCCCCTTCCTTCCTTTCCTTTCCAGGCTCTGCTGAGTGGGAAAGGCCCCTCCATCCTTCCATCCCTCCTTCCATCCCAGGGACCCCCCTCTCGCTTTCCTTCTTTCCTTGCTTTGCCTGCCTTCCATGATGTCCCTGGTGCTCTTGTTCTGCTGCTGCTGTGGATGCTGCCTCTTGGGGTTCTCCTCCGGGACGGGGTTCCTCTACCAGTTCCCGGCCCACGGGTTCCCCGAGCAGGCAGGCCCCTCCTCGCCCGGAGCCCCCCCAGGACGGTGAGTGAGGGAGAGGGAAGGAGGGAATGGGAAAGGAAGGGAAAGAGAGAAGAAGGAGAGACAGAGAGAGAGAGAAAGAAGTGGAGGAGAAGGGGAAGGAAAGGGGGAAAGAAAGAAAGAAAGAAAGAAAGAAAGAAAGAAAGAAAGAAAGAAAGAAAGGAAAGGAGAAGAGGGATGAAAGAGAGAGAGAAAGAAGGAAAGAAGAAGGGAAAAGAATGGGGAAAGAAAGAAGGAAAGGAAAAGAAGGAAGAAAGGGGGGGAGAGAGAGAGAAAGGGGAAGAAGAAGGGAAAGGGGGAAGAAAGAAGGAAAGGAATGGAGGAAAGAAAAAGAGAGAAAGGAAGGGGAAGGGGAAGGAAAGGAGTAAAGAAAGACAGAGAGAGAATGTAAGAAGGGAAGGAGAAGGGAAGGGAAAGGAAAGGGGGAAAGAAAGAAAGGAGGGAGGGAGGGAGGGAAGAGAGAGAGAGAGAGAAAGGGAAAGGAGAAGGGAACAGAAAGGAGGGAATAAAGAAAAAAGGAAAGGAGGGGAGAGAGCGAGAAAGAAAGAAAGGAAAGGAAACGAAAGGAGAAAAGAAAGAAAGAAAAACTGAAAGAGAAGAGAAAGGAAAGAGGGAAAGGAAGAAAGGAAGGAAGGAAGGAAGGAAGGAAGAGAGTGATAGAAGGGAAGGAGAAGGGAAATAAGGGAAGAAAGAATGAATGAATAAAAAATGGAAAAATGGAAGGGGAAGATAAGGAAAAGGGGGAAGAAAGAAGGAAAGGAGGGAAGAGAGAGAGAAAGAAGGGAAGGAGAAGGGAAAAGGGAGAAAGAATAAATGAAAAAGGAAACTGGAAGGGAAGAGAAATCAGAGGGGTGAAGAAAGAGAGGGGGAAAGAAAGAAAGGAGAAGGGAAAGGAAAAGAAAGAGGAAAGAGAGAGAGGGGGAAAGAAGGTAAGGAGAAAAGAAAGGAGGAGAGGAAAGGAGAGAAGAAAGAGAGGAAATGAAAGGAGGGAAGAAAGAGCGGGGAAAGGAAAGGAAAAGAGGGGAGAAGGAAAGGAAAGGAGAAAGGAAAGGCAAAATGAAGGGAATGGAAAAGAAAGAACGAATGAATGAATGAAAGAGGGAAACAGTAAAAAAAGAGAGAAAGAAAGCAAGGAAGAAAGAAAGAGGAAGGGAAAAGGGAAAAGGAACGGAGGGAAGAAAGAATGAACAAAAGAAAGAAAGGAAAAGGGAATGAATGAATGAATGAATGAAAGGGAAAAAGGAAGGGAAAGAGAAAGGAAAGGAAGAAAGAGGGACCCCATGAGGGGAAGGCACATCTCCCCTCCTCCCTCCTTTGCTCAGATCTCGCCTGGAGGAAGGCGAGGGGCATGGGGTGGTGCCTCCCTACCTGGCAGAATGAAGTGGGGGGTGGGCTGGATGGCCTTGAGGGGCCCCTTCCAGTTGGCAGATGTTCTGTTCCTGGTTTGAAAGTGTTATTCCTGTTTCATCATGATGTTCTTACTTAGAAAGTTGTTCTCCTCCAGAAGCTTTGTTGTTTTTGTGGCTGCCACAAACTCTGTTGAATGGGTTGATACTCAATGATGATTGATTGAAAAACTATGGCAAAACGTGCTATTTATCTCTACCCTTAGAAAATGTATAATGATGTGGGTGAACTACAATTCCCAGAATCATGGGTCAATCCCCAAACCAGGTCTGTATGCACAGCTGGCCATGTTGGATGTGTGTGCCAAGTGGGGTCCAGATCCATCGATGGCTGGGTTCACTGCTCTCTGGATAAGGGTGAACTACAACTCCCATATGGCAAGGGCAGTCACCCCCAAACCCTGGAAGTATTTACGGTTGGTCATGTTGGGTCCGTGTGCCAAGTTTGGTCCAGATCTAATGCTGGCTGGGTTCACTGCTCTCTGGATGGAGGTGAACTACAACTCCCAAGGTCAATTCCCACAAACCCCTGCTGTATGTTCAGTTGGTCATGGGGCTTCTCTGTGCCAAGTTTGGTCCTGGTCTATTGTCAGTGGGGGGGGGGGGTCACAGTTTCTCTGAATGTAGGTGAACTAAAATTCCCAGATTCCGAGGGCAATCACCCCCAAACTCCGCCTGTTTTCACAGTTGGGCATGTTGGGTCTGTGTACCAAGTTTGGTCCAGATCTGTTATTGATGGGGTTCAGAGTGCTCTGGGTGCAGGGTGAACTACAACTCTCATGCGGGTGAATCATTCTCTCCAACCCCTCCTGTGTGTTCTGTTGACCATCAGGGTTCTGTGTGCCAGGTGTGTTTCAGATACACCATTGGGGGCTTCTGAATGTTCTCTGGGTACAGGGCGAACTACAGTTCCCACCTGGGTGGGCTAGTCTTTCCTCAAACTCTTCCAGCATGTTCAGTTAGTCACCAGGGTTCTGTGTGCCATGTTTGGTCCAGATCCATCATAGGTGGAGTTCAGAGTGTTCTGTATGCAGGATGAACTACAACTCCCACGCAGGTGGGTTGGTCCCTCCACAAACACTTCAAGTATGTTCTGTTGGTCATCAGGGTTCTGTGTTCCAGGTTTGGTCCAGGCTCGTCATTTGTGGGAGTCACAGGAAAGTGGGAGAAGGTACTACAAATCCCATTGTCTGTGGTTCATCCACCCCAAACCTCACCGGGACAAAAAGTGTAGCATAGGGAATCTGGGTGCCAAAGGTATATCATTTGTGAGGGTTGTGGTGGTTTCTTGAAGTGAGTGAAATCCCATCATCCCTGGTTCATCCTCCCCCAACTATAAAGTGCATCATGGAGAGCCTGTGTAGTAAATTTGGCCCAGGACTGTAATCCATGAGAGTCGTAGTGGTCTGTGGAAGTGGGTGAAGGTACTGTCAATCCCATCACCTGTGATCCATCCTCCCACAATCTTCAGCAGGACATAAAGTCCATCATTGTTGAAATCCACAGTGGTCTCTGGATGGAGGTGAACTACAACTCCAAAACTCAAGGTCAATGCTCACCACACTCTTCCAGTATTTTCTGTTGGGAGTTCTGTGTGCCAAGTTTGGTTCAATTTCATCATTGTTGGAGTTCAGAATGCTCTCTGATTGTAGGTGAACTAGAAATCCCAAAATGACAAAATCAATCCCCCCAAACCCACCACCATTCAAATTTGGGCATATTGGGTATTTGATCCAGTGAATGAAAATACATCCTGCATATCTGATACGTACATTACGGCTCATAACAATAGCTGAAGTACCAATGAGAATAATGTTATGGTTGGGGTTCACCACAACATGAAGAACTGGATTAAGGGGTCGCGGCATTAGGAAGGTTGAGAAACACGGATCTAGAGAGTCTTTCCTCCATTTCTTTGGCTCACAAACGGTCCCCAGCAAACCTTTGTTGGAAGGAAGCCATGCATTTTGTGGAGCAAAGCATCCAGAGGAAACCCCAGCCTGGAATTCACAAGAACAATGTCTCAATTCCTGTCAATGGAAGTTGGAGGCTCTGGCTTGTGTAAACAAAACTCAAGTGCTGGATTTCCTCCTGCTGCCAATGATGAGGAGGATGAGTTATGAGCTACCTCGGTTCACAAGTTCATGCTACGCTCTTCTCTTCGCTTCTCACAATTCAAGAGCACTTTGACCAAGAAATACCACCGGCTCCTCTTGGAACTGATTGTAGCAACAACAACGCTGAAGGCTTCGGTGTGTTCTCAAACTGATCTGGTTTCCCCATTGATCCAGATTATACAATGTAACATGTTCCTGGGCTATCAATGTTATTTCCTAATTGGTTCTGTCCTAAAAACATAGGGAAAGTTTGTTAAGCTGCCAACACTTGGTTTTTGTGGGAGGGACATAATGATAATAATAATCATCATCATCATCATCATCGTTTGTGAGATTAACAGAACTCAAAAACTGGACAAATTGACACCAAATTTGGACACAATATACCTAACAACCCAATGTATGTCCTTCACTAAAAAAATGATTTTGTCATTTGGGAGTTGTAGTTGCTGGGATTTATAGTTCACTTACAATCAAGGAGCATTCAGAACCCCACCAACGATGGAATTGAACCAAACTTGGCAGACAGACCTCCCACGTACAACAGAAAATACTGGAAGGGTTTGGTGGGCAGTGGAGTTGTAGTTCACCTACATCCAGAGATCACTGTGGACTCAAACAATGATGGATCTGGACCAAACTCTACAAGAATACACAATATGCCCAAATGTGAACACCGATGGAGTTTGGGGGAAATAGAATCTTGGTATTTGGGAGTTGTAGTTGCTGGAATTTATAGTTCACCTACAATCACAGAGCATTCTGAAATCCAACAATGATAGAATTGAGCCAAACCTCCCACACAGAACCCCCATGTGGGCCACAGTAACGTGTGGCAGGGGACAGCTAGTCTATATAAATAAAAATGTAATGTTCGTTTGTGGGATTAACATAACTCAAAAACCACTGGACAAATTGCCCCCAAATTTGGCCACAAGACACCTGCATAACCCAAGGAGTGGCCATCACTCAAAAATTGATTTTGTCATTTGGGAATTATAGTTGCTGGGATTTATAGTTAACCTACAATCAAAGAGCATTATAAACTCCACCAATGATGGAATTGGGCCAAACTTAGCACACAGACTCCTGTGACCAACAGAAAACACTAGAAGGGTTTGCTGGGCATTGACCTTGAGTTTGGGAGTTGTAGTTCACCTACATCCAGAGAGCACTGTGGACTCAAGACAATGATGGATCTGGACCAAACTTGGCACGAATATTCCATATGCCCAAATATGAACACAAATGAGGTTTGGGGAAAATAGACAGTGGAAGAGACTTAAAAAGTCAAAAATTAAAAAAATATACATTTCAACCCATAGGTAAAACCACATATATACACATTTACACATACATACACTCACAAAACACATATACCCAGACTGGACCACAGCTATGCGTGGCAGGGGACGGCTAGTCTATATAAATAAAAATGTAATGTTCGTTTGTGGGATTAACATAACTCAAAAACCACTGGATGAATCGACACCAATTTTGGACACAATACACCTATCAGGCCAATGAGTGACCATCACTCATAAAAACACTGAAAAACACAGCAGAAGGGACTTTAAAAGCCAAAAACCAAAAAATACATGACAACCCATGTGCAAAACCACACATATATACGCAAACACACATATACACAAATATATACACACACAAAGCACATATACACAGACTGGGCCACAGCAACGCATGGCAGGGGACAGCTAGTCTATATAAATAAAAATGTAATGTTCGTTTGTGGCAGGAGACGGCTAGTGACTCATAAAAACATTGAAAAACACAGCTCACGTCCATCACTTGGGGTCAGCCTGGATTTCCTGGGATATTTTGAGACAGGAAGACAAGATGTCCCTTGATTGGAGTTTGAACTTGGGGAGACAATGCCTTTTGATGTCATTCCCTTTACCCAAATAGAGGTTTTCCTTGCAATAAAACACTCGCGGCCTAATTGAAAGCCTTTCCCGTCCCGTCAGATGCGCCCTCTAATCTTCATGGGAGGGACTTCCCTTTGAAACCACAAAAGTCATAATTTGGAGACTGAGAGAGGGCATCAAAGGAGGTGAATGAAGGGCTTCACCGGGTGAAGACAGGCACGCCCCGATGCTCTGATTCTTGCTTGGTTTCCTAAGATTTGTTCCACGTAATTCCTTCCCTATATACCGTGAAGGGCTGGTCTTCCTTGATGAACCTTCTCAAGCTCAAACTTATCATGTCTATAGCTAATTTGTCCCCATTTTAACCATAACTTTGATTGTGTCATGTTCCTTGATTCGTGTTTGGGCAATGCTGCATTTGGTGATCCCTATGGAGACTTCTTGGGATCAGCTGCATGGTACATGGGAGACTTCTGCAGAGATGAGAGGATCCCTCTTGTCCTTTGCTGAACGTTCAGCAAAGGACAAGAGGGATCCTCTCACCTCTGCAGGAGTCTACTGTATACTTACTTAGGCGATCCCTCGTAACTTGAGGATGATTGTCTTCCAGATGTGGTGTCTTGGATGTGGATTCGTAGGTGACTGTGGAGCCCTATTCTTGACCTGCATGCTCTCCCACAGTGAGGACATTGGTTTCTAGGTGGAAGGTGGTCGTGGTCAGGGTTGGCTTGACACACCTTCCTTTTGGCACGTTTCTCCCTTTCGCCCTCCATTCGTGCCTCTTTGAATTCTGCAGCACTGCTGGTCACAGCTGACTTCCAGCTAGAGCACTCAAGGGCCAGGGCTTCCCAGTTCGCAGTGTCTATGCCACATTTTTTAACATTTCCCATTCATGACTTTGGAGTAGAGTCACTGCTTTGGGAGATGGTGATCAGGTATTCGGACAACGTGGCCGGTCCAGCAGAGTTAATGGCGGAGGAGCATCACTTCAGTGCTGGTGGTCCTTGCTTCTTCCAGCACGCTGACATTTGTCTGCCTGTCTTCCCAAGAGATTTGCAGGATTTTTCGGAAGCAGCCCTGATGGAATTGTTGCAGGAGTTGAATGTGACGTCTGTAGATAGTCCACGTTTCGCAAGCGTATAGCAGGGTTGGGAGGACAATAGCTTTATAAATAAAAATGTAATGTTCGTTTTGGGATTAACATAACTCAAAAACCACTGGACGGATTGACACCAAATTTGGACACAATACACCTATCAGGCCAAAGAGTGACCATCACTCATAAAAACACTGAAAAACACAGCGGAAGAGACTTAAAAAGCCAAAATTAAATATATATATACATTTCAACGCATAGGCAAAACCACATATATACACATTTACACATACATACAGTCACAAAACACATAAACACAGACTGGGCCACAGCAAAGCATGGCAGGGGACAGCTAGTCTATATAAATAAAAATGCATTACAACGCATTTGCAAAACCACATATATACACAAACACACATATATACACACACATATACACATATATACACACACAAAACATATGCAAGACTGGGCCACAGCAATGCATGGCAGGGGACGTCTAGTAGCTTTATAAACAAGCTCCTTGGTCCCCCAACGGATATCCCGGTCCTCAAACACTCTCAGCTTCAGTCAGAAGAATGCTGCACTCACAGAGCTCAGGCGGTGTTGTATTTCAGTGTCAATGTTGACTTTTGTGGAGAGGTGGCTGCCGAGGTAGTGGAAATGGTCAACATTTTCTAATGTTACACCATTAAGCTGTATTTCTGGCATTGGATACCATGCAGCTGTGGACAAGAAATCTCCATAGGGACTACCAAACGCAGCAGCATTGCCCAGGCACGAATCAAGGAACACAAAAGGCACTACAGACATAACCTGAGAAGTCAGCCATAGCATATCATCTGATGAACCAACCTGGACACAGCATAGTATTGGAGAACACAGAAATACTGGACCACTCTAGCAACCACCATGTCACGCTACACAGAGAAGCCATTGAAATCCTCAGAAAGCATGTGGACAATTTCAACAGAAAGTAGGGAACCATGAAAATGAACACAATCTGGCTCCCAGTATTTAAAAAAACTCTAAAATCAGGATATTAAATAACGAACAACACACAGAAATGCCAGACAAGAAACAACCACCTCTCAACAAAGGGTTCCCCTAGGCAGTAAGAAAGTACATCTTGAAACTGCTACACCAATTAAATGCTAATCAAGGTGGCCAATTGCAACATTCACACCTACCTCAAGTATAACATATAAACTCCACTTGCCTAGTTTCCAACAGACCTCACAATCTCTGAGGATGCCTGCCATAGGTGTGGGACAAACATCAGGAGAGAATGCTTCTGGAGCATGGCCACACAGCCCGAAAAACTTACAACAACCCAACATTATTGTCATTGTACATTATACCACAAAACTGAATGACATCCCCAATACACATTACCCTATTTAACAAGATTTGAAAAATGTTCTGTTCCTGATTTGAAAGTGTTACTGCCTGTTTTATTGTGCAGTCCTGAGTTGGAAAGTCATTGTTCTCCTCCAGAAACTTCGTTATTTTGTGGCGGCCACAAACTAGGTGGAATTGGTTGAGACTTGATGATGAAATCGTGATTGACAAACTATCACCACAGGTGCCATAGCAGGATGTCCCTCCCACAGAAACAAAGTTGGTGCAGTTTAATAAACTTTTTTCCATGTTGTTATCACAGAACCAATTAGGAAATGGCATTTATAATCTAGGAACAAAAATCTTGTTACATAGCGTAATATAGTATAAATAATAATATAATGTAATATAATATTTTTGTAGTAAAATAATATGGTTGCACTATTTACAAGAACAAGGTTTCCATGGCATTAATAAAGTTCTTTACACTTCCTTCTTTGCTTCCACGCTGGGCTTTTTTCTCATGCAGATAAACAGCTTTGCTCTCACACAGCCTCCTTTCACAACAAATTGATACTGGAGCTTTACACACGAGGCTTTACACACAAGATCTTTAACCTGGGGCTTCTTTCACCAAAGTGTCTCACACACTGAGTTTTACCTCACACTCCTCAGAACAACACTAGCTTTGTTTCACTAACTCTTAACAGGCTTCAGCTTACTCACTCTCCTCAGAACGACACTAGCTTTGGCCCACTGACTCTAACAGGCTTCGGCCTACTCACTCTCCTCAGGATGACATTAGCCTTGGTCACTGACTCTTAACAGGCTTCAGCCTACTCTCCTCAGGACGACACTAGCTTTGGCCCCTGACTTTAAGAGGCTTCGGCCTACTCACTCTCCTCAGGATGACATTAGCTTTGTCTTCAGCCTACTCACTCTCTTCAGGACGACACTACTTTTGGCTATGGCCTACTCACTCTCTTCAGGATGACATTAGCTTTGGCTTCGGTCTGCTCACTCTCCTCAGGATGACATTAGCTTCGGCCCACTGACTTTAAGAAGCTTTGGCCTACTCACTCTCCTCAGGACGACATTAGCTTTGGCCCACTGATTCTAACAGACTTCAGGCTACTCTCCTCAGAACGACACTAGCTTTGGCCCACTGACTTCAAGAGGCTTCGACGTACTCACTCACCTCAGGATGACATTGGCTTTGGCTTCGGCTTACTCACTCTCTTCAGGACGACACTAGCTTTGGCTTCGGCCTACACACTCTCTTCAGGATGACACTAGATTTAGCTTCGGCCTACTCACTCTCCTCAGGGCGACAGTAGCTTTGACCCACTGACTTTAAGAGGCTTTGGCCTACTCACTTTCCTCAGGACGACACTAGCTTTGGCTTCGGCCTACTCATTCTCCTCAAGACAACATTAGCTTTGGCCCACTGACTCTAACAGGCTTCAGGCTACTCTCCTCAGAACAACACTAGCTTTGGCCCACTGACTTCAAGAGGCTTTGACGTACTCACTCTCCTCAGGATGACTTTGGCTTCGGCTTACTCACTCTCTTCAGGACGACACTAGCTTTGGCTTCAGCCTACTCACTCTCTTCAGGATGACACTAGCTTTGGCTTCGGCCTACTCACTCTCTTCAGGATGACACTAGATTTAGCTTCGGCCTACTCACTCTCCTCAGGGTGACAGTAGCTTTGACCCACTGACTTTAAGAGGCTTTGGCCTACTCACTTTCCTCAGGACGACACTAGCTTTGGCTTCGGCCTACTCACTCTCCTCAGGGCGACAGTAGCTTTGACCCACTGACTTTAGGAGGCTTTGGCTTACTCACTTTTCTCAAGATGACACTAGCTTTGGCTTCGGCCTACTCACTCTCCTCAGGACGACACTAGCTTTGGCCCACTGGCTTTGGCCTACTAACTCTTTCAGTGTTTGACTCACATTTTTGTAATTAAAATACCTAGTTAATTTAAAAATATTTCTGACAGTTTATAACCCAGGAACAAAAATCACGTGACAGAATATAATTCAGAGCGGGTAATTCCATATTATTATTAACGCGCTGCATCTGCCTTGTGTGTCCTTCTCCCCTTCAGGCACTGGTGCCACTACACAGTCTCCCGGACGGTGTCCTGCCAGGTCCAGAATGGCTCCGAGACGGTCATCCAGAGGGTCTACCAGAGCTGCCGGTGGCCAGGACCTTGTGCCAACTTAGTCAGGTAATAGCGGCCACCTTCTGCTCCAACGCGAAAGCGCCGTTGGCTTCCATATCTGTATGCTCTTTGGGTTTGAGGTCAAAGGAGCTGTTTGGGAATACGGTTCAGCACCCCGGACAGCTCCTTTAACATTCACATTAGAGCTGTGCGATCGATGATAAAAAATATTTCAAAACTCATTACAAAATTAGGGGGCTGTCAACATTTCGTTTCTAAAGTGTTTCTAATGTGTCGTTAGTGAAAGTTCTGTTACTATAATGAGAATAATGAAGTTTCGTGACTTTTTCATTCTAGTAACTGGTCAAGTGGGGAAACGTCAGGGGCTTCTTTCTCCCTCGTTTTTACAGCTATTGGGGTGAAACTTGCTACAATGGTAGAACACATTGACCACTTTTAGCCCATCAAGTTTCAGAACGTTTCACGTATCCATGGATTTTTGGGGAATTTTCAAAGTTTTTATAAACAACTTTTTAAAAAATGTACAACAGCAATCTCCTTAAAGTTTCTCTACAATGACACAAGATAACAGGGCATCATTTTCCCCAATAGCCAGAGTGATTTTGTTTGCTGTGGACTCACCTTGTTGTGTTTCTAATAATAATAATAATAATAATAATAATAATAATAATAATAATAATAATATAATGTTTCAAGGCAGTAAGCAATCAAGGGCCAGTGAGCCCCACCCAGGCTAGGGGTGTCTCTAAGCAGGAAACAATTCGAAAGCAGTGAAGGCCAGGCGATTTCCATGCAGATGCTAACTCACATGCTAATGGTGGGATCCCATGGAACACATGCAAATCAAGTTTGCTAATTACACCCTTCAACAGAGAATGATTCTTTCTTCCCACCCTGGACATTATTCCAAAGGTATATTATATTCTCCTCTTGCTTGACTCTCATCAGATCCTCTGAAGATGCCAAGTACATTAATAATAATAATAACAATAATAATGTTAAAGGGTAATAATAATAATAATAATAATATATTATTATTATTAATAATAATAATAATAATTGTTAATACCCTGTTTTATCTCCCCGAAGGGGACTCAGATGCAGGCAAAACAAAAAAAGGAGAAAATTCTGCTGGAAAACATTGGCCGTACAGGCCAGAAACCACACAACACCCCACTTGAGTATATAGTACTATATAGATGAATGCTTTCCCTCTCAGGCAGTCAGAGTGACGTCTTCCTTGTGTTAGTTACAGGACTCTCATCAGGCCCACGTATAAGATCTCTTACAGAACGGCCACGGCCCTTGAGTGGCGATGCTGTCCTGGCTTCACAGGAAGCAACTGCGAGGAAGGTAAGCCTCCCGGGAGCCTGCCTCTGTTTCCCCAACGTTACAGTACATCTCCCCTTCTGGGTTCATGGGCTGGGGGTGATGGGAGTTGTGGGTAGCCCAGTTCACATAGAGTACGCCTGGCTCGGAAGGCACTAGAAAGCACTGAGGCGCATTGGTAGAGCCTGAATTGCACTGGGACTCTCTTGCCATTGTGTTTTTATGAATCTTACTAATCCAGAGATGCATATCTGAATGGATGCACATCAGGGCACCAGAAAGCACTGATGCACATTGGTAGAACCTGAAGTACCCTGGGATTCTCTTGCCCTTGTGTTATTGTGAATCTTACTAATTCAGGGATGTATATCTGAATAGGTTGTTGTAGGTTATTTTGGGCTATATGGCCATGGTCTAGAGGCATGGCCATATAGCCTGAAAAAACATACAACAACCCAGTGATTCCGGCCATGAAAGCCTTTGACAATACATATATCTGAATAGCTGCGCATCAGAACACCAGAAAGTGCTTGTGCGCATAGGTAGAAACTGAAATGCATTGGGACATTCTTGCTATTGTGTTATTATCAATCTTACTAATCCAGAGATGAACATATGAATGGATGCACCTCAGGACACTAGAATGTGCTGATACACATTGGTAGAAACAGAAATGCACTAGGATCCTCTTACTTTTATGTTATTGTGAATCTTACTAATCCAGGGAAAAGATGCGCACCAAGACACCACCAGAAAGTGCTGGTGCGCATAGGGAAAACCTGAAGTGCATTGGGATTCTCTTGCCTTTGTATTATTGTGAATCTTACTAATCTTACTAATTATCTGCTTCTCTCTTTTATCTCGCCCGAGTTTTTAATTAGTTTTAATCAGTTTGTTTTTTAATCATTACATGTAGCATGCCCATTGTTACTGTGCCTATTATAATGTTTACATTGTTATATATCCATATATTTTATGTAATTATGATGTTACTGTTTGCGTTTCTGGTTGTGTCTTGGTTTTTCTTCATTGTAATTGTTGTTTTGGGCTTGGCCTCATGTAAGCTGCTCCGCGTTCCCATTGGGGAGATGGTGGCGGGGTATAAATAAAGATTATTATTATTATTTATTATTGTGTACATTTGAATAGATGTGCATCAGGACACCAGAAAGTGCTGGTGTGCATGGGGAGAACCCGAGTGCATTGGGATTCTCTTGCCTTTGTGTTATTGTGAATCTTACTAGTCCAGGGATGTGTGTTGTATTACTGTCATTTTTTTTTTTGCTTTTCTGTTTATGAGTTTATTTTAATTGTTTTATTGTTGTTGTTATTGCTTGTATTGATGTATTGTGGGCTCGGCTTCATGTATTATTATTATTATTATGTACATCTGAATAGATGCGCATCAGGACACCAGAAAGTGCTGGTGCGCATGGGGAGAAACCGAAGTGCATTGAGACACTCTTGCTGCCGTGTTATTATGAATCTTCTTAATCTATGGATGAACATCTTAATGGATGCACATCAGGGCACCCGAAAGCACTGATGCACATTGGTAGAGCCTGAAGTGTATTCGTAGAGCTCTTGCTGTTGTATTATTATGAATCTTCCTAATTCACTGAGTGGGTCTGTGTAGCTAAGTATATGCAAAGTTACGCAATGTTGGCATCTCTGTCTTCCTTTCCCTGGCAAACTCTGGCATCCTCATAGAACCCAACCATTATTGCAATCTTCTCTGGAGCGCAACCGAGTGTCCTGATCCTTTTGCTAATAGGTTGGGACTCTTTTGAGAGAAATGTTATCTTTTAACCAGCAACGGCTGCTGGGCACCTCCCTCACCACTGAAGGCAACAGATGGTTTGGATAATTATAATTATCTCTGGAATTTTAACTCTTAACCTGGCAGCCGACAAAGAGAAATCCCGGCCTGGAGGAAATCTCACTGGCAGTGAAGCTAAGCTCAATGCGGGCGTTCAAAGCTTCTCTTGTGTGTTTTGCTTTCCGGAGGGGAGCCGCCTGCCTCCTTCATGGGTTGCCCCCGTTCCCACAGCACTACCCAGGATATTTTTTGGCTTTGAGGGCATAGATTCGCTCCTTGTGTTGAAATCAGAGGCCTCCTCAAGACTTGTGACTCCCCATTGCCTTTGTGACTCTCTTGCTATTGTGTTATCACGAACCTTCCTAAGCCCTAAACAGTTCTGGCCCAAATTACCTGTCCGAACGCATCTCCTCCTATGAACCAGCGAGGATGTTAAGATCATCTGGGGAGTCCCTGCTCTCGGTCCCGCCTGCATCACAAGTACGTCTGGCGGGGACGAGAGACAGGGCCTTCTCAGTGGTGCCCCCTCGGCTGTGGAACGCCCTTCCTACAGAAATTAGATCGGCCCCCTTCCTATTAGCATTTTGGAGGAAATTGAAGACCTGGTTATTTGACCAGGCATTTGAATAGGCAGTGTATTGAATATAGGAATATGGAACAATGGATCATGATTATTTATTTATTTATATTATTTATTTTGAGCTTGTATAACCCGGTCTTCTCGACCTCCAAAAAGGGACTCAGGCCGGCTGACAGCATAGGATTAAAATACAATATGATAAGCCACAGTAAACATCATAATACAATAGTACAAAAATACATTAAAATACAATTATACAACTTACAAAAGGTCAGTTCGTCAGAATAAATCATAAATTCATCGCCATCCGCCCGTGTGGTCAGCAGGTATTGACTCAGTCATTATTCTGCAAATGCAGTATTCCAAAGCCATGTTTTTACCAGCTTTCTAAAAGTGAGGAGGGAAGAGGCAGATCTAATCTCCATCGGGAGGGAGTTCCAGAGCCGAGGGGCCACCACCGCTGATCTATCTTTTTGCTATTGTTCCATGTGAAGGTACATTTCTACATTATTTATTATTTTCTTATTTAACAAAAAAAAAAATGGGGAAGCGGTTTTGGGTGGCCAGAATGGATTAATTGCATTCCAGTAGGGAAATTCACTTTGAGAGAAGAGCAATTTGAGTTAAGAGCTCAGTCACAGAACGAACCAGACTCTTATCTCAAGGTATCAAAATGGTCTGCTTCAGCTTAAGTCCGTGGCTGCCAAGTCAGTGGTCTGGTGAACCTGCTCCATGTTTCAACACACTCTGTGGTTCGAGGAGCTCTCCAAGGTGCTCTCACAGTCAGGAAATTCTTCCTAATATTCAGGTGGAATCTCCTTTCTTGTCGTTTGAAGCCATTGTTCCATTGCATCCTAGTCTCCAGGGTAGCAAAAAACAAGCGCTTTATGACTTCCCTTCACATATTTATCCATGGCCCTCATCATGTCTCCTATCAGCCTTCTCTTCTTCAGGCTAAACATGCCCAGCTCTTTAAGCCGCTCCTCATTGGGCTTGTTCTCCAGACCCTTGATCGTTTTAGTCACCCTCCTCTGGACACCTTCCAGCTTGTCAATATCTCTCTTCAATTGTGTTGCCCAGAATGGGACACAGTGTGATTCCAGGTGTGGTCTGACCAAGGCAGAATAAAGCATGGGGAGCATGACTTCCTTGGATCTAGGCACTAGGCTCCTATTGATGCAGGCCAAAATCCCATTCGCTTTTTTTGCCGCCACATCACATTGTTGGCTCATGTTTAACTTGTTGTCCACAATGTCTCTAAGATCTTTTTCACGCGTCCTGCTTTCGAGCCAGGCATCGTCCCCCATTCTGTGTTTTTTCATTTCATTTTTTCTGCCTAAGTGGAGTCTCTTGCATGTGTCCCTGTCGAACTTCATTTTGTTAGTTTTGGTCAATCATCTCTAACCTGTGAAGATCATCTTGAATTCTGCTCCTGTCTTCTGGAGTATTGGCTATCTCTCCCAATTTGGTGTCGCCTGCAAACTGGATGATCCTGCCTTCTAACCCTTCACCTAATAATAATAATAATAATAATAATAATAATAATAATAATAATAATAATAACTTTATTTATACCTTGCCACCATCTCCCCAAGGGACTCGGAGCGGCTTACATGAGGCCAAGCCCAACAACACATCAATAAAAACAGCAGGGAAAAAGCAAAATAAACAATACAATTAATATAACTCACACATAGACAGTAACACACAAGGATTTAAAAACCTATGGCCGGGCCAGATGTAATAGTTAAAACTTTAAAATAAAATAAATGCTGGACATGAACAGAGGGTGTATCTAGTAGGAGGGTTTTAAACAAAATGTAAAGAACAACCCAACGGGTAATTAAAGTGCTTCTCAGGATATTTGCAGGGAATTGTTTCTTTATTCAGGGAAGGCACACTGGAACAGCCACGTTTTCAGGCTCCTCCTAAAGACTGCCAATGTGGGGGCTTGTCTAATGTCCTTAGGGAGTGAGTTCCGGAGTCGGGGGGCCACCATAGAGAAGGCCCTCTCCTTCGTCCCCACCAATCACGCCTGTGAAGGAGGTGGGAGCGAGAGCAGGGCCTCTCCAGATGATCGAAGAGATCGCGTGGATTCATATACAGAAATGTGGTCACACTGTTCAGGGCTTTGTAGGTAAGAACCTGCACCTTGAATTGAGATCGGAAAATGAACGGCAGCCAATGGAACTCCTTAAACAGGGGGGTTGACCTCTCCCTGTAAGTCGCCCCAGTTAATAAGCTGGCTGCCGCCCGTTGGACCAATTGAAATTTGCCATCTTCAAGGGCAGCCCCACGTAGAGTGCATTACAGTAACCCAATCTGGAGGTGACTAAGGCATGGACCACCCTGGCTGGATCCGACTTCATGAGGTATGGTTGCAGCTGGCGCACGAGTCTTAATTGTGCAAAGGCCCTCCCAGCAACCGCCGATGCCTGAGCTTCAAGCGTTAGCGATGAGTCTAGGAGGACACCTACGCTGTGGACCTGTGCCTTCACCTAAGTCATGAATGAAGATCCTGAGCAAGACCGGATCCAGGAGGGAACCCTGCTGATCGCACTCCGCTCATCACTTCTTTCCAGGATGAAGTGGAAGCATTGGGGAGAATCACCCTCTGGGTTCATT